ACATCGTGTGCAAGTGCACGAGGAAGGCGAGGGCGTGGGGCAGACTTTCCAACGGTGGATACAGCACCGCCAACGCAAGTGCATATTTCAAGAGAGGTGAGCTTTCCCCACCGACCTTTCCAAAATCTCAACTGCAAGAAGGGAGAGTTTGTCTCCACGTGAGCTACATGGCGGGCGGTTCTGCTGTTTACCAAATTTGACACGAGGTGGAATGAGCCTTTTCTCTCCGGTTGAGCATCAAGTCAAGAACAGCGTACTCGCTGTTTTGCTGGCCGTCGTTGCAGAATCTGGGTGTGATTTTCTCCATTGCATTGTCATACGGTTGTTCCCGATATTTCGTAGCGATCGTTTGGAGTTGTCAGCAATTTCGTGCACGTCGAGAGCCGGCGGTCCTGCTGGTTTGAAGGAGCAGGTGAGGTATGCGTGACAGCACGCATGCAGTGAGTGCCCCCCGCCCATCTTGATTTGTATACTCCCTGCAGTTTAGGCCAGACGTGTTCCGTTTTCTTCTGTACGTTTCGGAATTCCCCGATTAGAGTCGCCCCGGGGGTGATATTTTGGTTTTTTCAGACCCCACCCCCCCCCCCACGCCACGGTGTTTGCCATCGGGGATTAGGTTTTCGTCGGTTGGCAACGACGTGGTAAAACAAGCCAAGTCACTTCGTAAACTCGGCAACCAGGCTACCGTTGTTTTTTTCACCTCTGGTTTTTTTTTGGCGGTAACCCTGAATGGTGGTCGAGTACATCATGTTCTGCGGGGTGGAGAAGCCTCACTCCGCGCAAGGGGGATGATAGTACCACGTTGTGTTAAAATGGTCACCCATCCTCGAGGCATTTACACAGTGCTTACAACTGTCTCTGGAAGTGAAAGCACCAGAAAATAAATTAAGTCATACGCAGCTGTCATCCGTACGCAAGGAAGTAAGCACAAGATGCCGAACACCCTTAGCAGGATGCAGCGCACCCTTCATGCGACTCGCCGAATATCTCACGGCGCTTCGCGCTTGGTGATGTGAGAGCCTGGTCCGGTGAGAACCCGGCGTGCTCCGTCCCGGCTTTGTAGGGATGCGAGATCAGTGGTCTAACGACTACGGCATGCACGACTATGAGTACACGCCCCCCCCCCCGGTGTTTGCCTATCGGGATTGGGTTTTCGTCGCTTGGCAACGACGTTGT